AATAATGATATACCTCCTTAAGGATGAAGTGAACTGCTATGTAATAGCACCCTGTATGTAAGTGATTGACAAATGCTAGTTGTTTTTATTAGAACTATCTTTCCTCAAATTTACATCTTTGGGTCATGGGATTTTGCATGCAAGCAAAAATATGGATAACAGTCTCAAGTTTTATTTTGTTTGTTCTCCATTTTAAACCAACTGTCAGTTGTTTTTTCCTCTCCAAAACCAGAACTATTTTGATTTGTAATAAAACAAAGAATCAAGTCAGCCTTCTGTAATATCACCACTGTGGCCCAAGGAATCCCTTCTGACCTTCAGTAGCTCACTTTATCTACATTACTCACTTAATATTTACTGAGCAATCTGAGACCACATGCTCAGCCTTTCTCCAGATAAGTGCCCTCCCCCATCCGTCTTAATCCAAGTTGCAAGAACCTTAAGAATATTGAAGAGATACTTTCAAGTATCTCGAAGAGATCCTAAACATCTCTAGCACAGGTAGGTGTCAAATACTGTTTTGTGAGGAACAAAAATTGTCTCTGTGAGAGTAGTCTTTTTTAATGAAATATATTAATGTGTGTGTGAAGGAGTATGTAAGTATTTATGTTTATATGTGTGTGTGCACATGTGTGGGGTGCATTATACACACATGCCTATGTATGTGCAAGCCATAAATATACTCCAGATGTCATGCCCTATTGCTCTCCACCTTATTTTTATGACAGGGTCTCTTGTTGCACTTGGAGCTTACCAATTCAGTTGGACTGGCTGGACAGCAGGCCCAAGGGATCCTCCTGTCTCTGTCTCATCAACACTGAAATTACAGTGCCACATCAAGCTCTTTATATGGGTAATGGGCATTGAAACACAGGCTTTCACAGCAAGCACCTTACGAACAGAGCCCAACTTCTCCCTAGCCCCAACATTATTTATATTAAGAGGTTTCTCGCACCCTAGGAGAGCCATTGGGTCTTTGTCTTACCCTGAGCATCAGAAACTCCTTGGGGTCAGTTAGCATCATTTAAGTAGGACTTTCATGTTCTGTTGGCTTCAAAGACTTTCTTTTCAGCTCCCTTCCCCTGATTAGACTTCAGACACTTGACCCCTGGTGAGGGGACAAAACTAATGTTACAGTACAAATTTTTCTTCTTCTTCTTCTTCTTCTTCTTCTTCTTCTTCTTCTTCTTCTTCTTCTTCTTCTTCTTCTTCTTCTTCTTCCTCTTCTTCTTCCTCTTCTTCTTCCTCTTCTTCTTCTTCCTCTTCTTCTTCTTCCTCTTCTTCTCCTCCTCCTCCTTCTTTTGTTTTTCTGTTTGTTTTTCAAGACAGGGTTTCTCTGTGTTGTTTCGGGGCCTGGCCTGGAACTTGCTCTGTAGACCAGGCTGGCTTCGAACTCACAGAGATCTGCCTGTCTCTGCCTCCTGAGTGCTGGGATTAAGATGTGTGCCACCAACACAGTACAAATCTTTCAGGAATCCTAGTACCTATCCAATGAACTTTCTAGCTATTCCACTTATATAAAAACATGCACTTATAAAAATAAAGACACACGGAGAGAAGCAGAGAGAAAGAGGAAGAAAGAAAAAGAAATGAAGGAAGAAAGAAAAAGGAAGGGAGGAAGAGACAGGTAGAAAGAAAGAGAGAGAAAGAAAAGAAAGAAAAGGAAGGAGGGAAGGAAGGAAGGAAGGAAGAAAGGAAGGAAGGGAAAGAAAGAAAGACTGATTGATTGATTGATTTTTGGCTAAAATCTAAGCTCTGCTGAGGTGGGTCCCTGCAACTGTCTCCCTGTGTCATGTCAAAGCTCTGGTCATACCCTACTTCCTCCTTGAGAGATTCCTCCACTCCATGTCTGAAATCTTTCCTTCCTTTATTGCTAGAGCAACAATTTCCTCTTGATTGTTCACTGCTTATGTTGACAATTATACTTTTATCTAAAGACTTGTTTTGTAACTGTGACATTTGTGTGCCTATTCTGTGTCTCTCTTGGTGGATCTGCCTTATTTGTGGGTACTATATATGAAGATTCAGTCATTCAAAGATTGAAAATATTTAGGGAAAATGGGTCTATATTGAACATAAACAGACACTTCTTTCTGTCTAAATAATACAGCATGACAACTTCTGAATTATATCACATTGTGTTTGAGTTTATTAGTGATTTGGAGATGGTTTAAAGATAGAGAAAGAATGGAAATATGTGCTATTTTATATGGTTCACTTGGACATCTGTGACTTTTGTTATCCAAGGGGGTCCTGGAACCAACCAATATCCAACCTTAGTTGGATATTGAGGGACACAGGTACTATAAACTGCTTTATATGGACGATCCTCATGACAAACCTATGAGGCAGGTCCTGTAATAAGTCTGGCATAATATTAAGGAAGTAGCACAGAGAAAGGTTAGTCACCTGAGGCTGGAAGTGATGGCGCTGTTGATGCAATTCTATGTGCTTAACCCACTGTGTTATGCCCTGAACACAACACTCAGGCAAGACACACTACCCGGGCGGTGGCTGTTTTCCCCACCCTTCTCTGGCCCAGTCCTGTCTATATATCCCTCTCTAGCAGAAGCAAGACTGGAGAAAATGATCAAATATCTCCATTACTTTGACCTCCTTTGGAGAAAAAAAGAATTCTAAAAATAGTTGAAACTGTTATTTTAAGCCAGTATTTCATCACTATGGTTTGTGATTCCACTGGAGATTTTTTTCGTGGCCAGAACCCCCAGATATACTGCCTGTTGCAAAGTTGTTATTTTTGATATCAGAAGGTTAGGGATGTTTCTGTTTGAAACATTGTCTATTTACATTCTTTAGCCCAAAATAGTCTGAAGTGTCAGTATTATGTCTTCATGTTTCTGGTACAATTCAATGATGTTACATCAATAGCCACATGTTCCTTTGAAGTATTTTGGCCCTTTCCAGACTTTGGGAAAATATATTATGATAATGACTAAGGTCACATTTATGAAGTGATACCATGATACCATGCCCCAGCAGGAAAAAGAAGATAGTGTGTAGAACGAAGTTGTCAGTGACATACTGGGGTGACCCACCCTCCTAAAAGCAATAGTTCTCACACTCTGTTCTCAAAACACCCTCATTGCAATATCATAATTCAGCACACACTCTCTGCTTTTATCCTGGCCCCAGAAGAAAACCATGCCCCTAGTCAAGGCCATTCCTGTGTGCCTGCAGGACCCAGGGCACATTATATTACATGCACTTCTTTATCCCTCTCTCAGTGTTATTACTGTGAGAAAGCCTAGTCACAGTAAACAATCCCAAGGACCATCTGCAGCGGGAATAAGTCACAAAAACTCATCTTGACAGTGAGAAACGAGAGGCAGCCATTTCGCCCCCAGTCGTTATCATCCCCCAGCTTCAAATGCCCACTAGCCCATGTTTGTGAATTTACCATAAAACCAAGGAAAGTATAAAGAGTGTAGTATTTGTTTGACTATTAATTTTTTTTTGTTACACTTAATTTGTTTTATGTGTGTGTGGGGGGGTGTTTGAGGGGGTGGGCCAGTTCATGTGGAGGTCAAAAGACAACTTCTGGGATTGGGTTCTCTCCTTCCACCTTTTAGGTCCTGAGGATCAAAACGAGGTCCTCAGGCTTGGTGGCAAGTGCCCTAACCCACTGAGCCAACTTGCTGACCCATGTTCCCGCATTTTTTAAAAGGAGAAACTCATTAAAACTAATACTTTACATTAATGGGCTCTTAAAAGTAGGGGCATTAGAAAGCTGGCCCTTCATCCTGCCATTGCTTGTGTATGATTTTACTATAATTATGGAACAAACTGAGGCCCTTTGAGAAAGACCATTGTTAG